GTTCAAGTATGTTTATTGAGACAAGAAAAAAATTACATCTCAAAGGGATAGAGTAGCTTAGGCTATTTCTATCCCCCCCCCCTATCTCCCATAACTAGGTTCGCACGCCATCAGTTATGACTTGTATAAAGTGTTTATCATTTATGAACGGGATTTTGCTGGTGGATTAACAAGCATTAGCCATTGTTTTTGATGACGGGCTGTTATGTAAAAAAAATGTAATGTAAATAGTATGTAAAAATATAGTGAATGCTACTTTTGGTTACCGTCGAGCCTTACTCGAGCATAGCCTAAAAATGAATTGAAAAATTTGAAAAAAAGGTGTGAACCTGGCAACCTTTTGTTTTGATGACGCGCCGAAATTCTAGCCAGTTTTTTGTTATCAAGATCCCGAGAGATCTGGCAAGTGGGTCGGGCAAATGTGTCACGCTCGAGATACAACATAAAAATTCCAAAATTATAAGAAATCTATTCAACCTCGCGGCATATCGCACTTTTTCTCATCATTAACATCGTGTAAATCAAAAATACATCATGTTGAGGCTAATGCTGGCGCCTGGTGACGATGCTGGCGCCTAGTGACGATGCTGGCGCCTAGTGACGATGCTGGCGCCTAGTGACGATGCTGGCGCCTGGTGACGATGCTGGCGCGAGGCTTCCGACCAACACAACAATAACAAAAGTATAATCCGCCATCTTTCAAACTTCATTGGACAAAATCTTTATCAAAAAAAAAGAACCGCGAGGTTCTTCAAAATAAAATCAATTTAAACGCGAGGAACCTGCTCCATAATACCTGCTGTGTCTTGGTATCCATTTCCCTCGATCCTTGAAACCCTTCGTGAGCCCCAGCGAAGGTTAAAAAAGAAAAAAAATACGAATCTTTGGGTAGGCGCCGGAGCAGAAATCTGCCGTGTAGGTCTGTCAAAATTACCTGGGAGAGGCCGCAGTTAGCCAGCCGCCCGGCCTGGACACGTGGTGATCTACAAGCCTAATGGTTTCCCAACGTAAAGAAACGGTCAATTTCATGTGTCCTTATTCTTACCTACCAGAGGACCCAAAACAGAAAACGCGACAGTACGTCACTTTCGCGAGTCGCTTCCATGTTCTAGTACGACCATTTTTGGCCTTATGTAGCGCCTACGAGCGAAAAGCGACGTTCTTTGTTGGAGGACAGGTTAGTTTTACAGTCTCATTCACTGGGGATATTTTCTGACGATGGTGACACATTGTTCTCTCACTGCTGAACGAGAGTGATTTGTCGGCAAGCGTGACAGTGACAAAAATGATACCTCAAGGTCTGCAGCTGTCTGTATCTTGAGTACGTACCTGTGTCAGGTACTGGTGCGGCCAGGGGTACCTGTGTCAGGTACTGGTGCGGCCAGGGGTACCTGTGTCAGGTACTGGTGCGGCCAGGGGTACCTGTGTCAGGTACTGGTGCGGCCAGGGGTACCTGTGTCAGGTACTGGTGCGGCCAGGGGTACCTGTGTTAGGTACTGGTGCGGCCAGGGGTACCTGTGTCAGGTACTGGTACGGCCAGGGGTACCTGTGTCAGGTACTGGTGCGGCCAGGGGTACCTGTGTCAGGTACTGGTGCGGCAATGGGTACCTGTGTCAGGTACTGGTGCAGCCAGGGGTACCTGTGTCAGGTACTGGTGCAGCCAGGGGTACCTGTGTCAGGTACTGGTGCGGCCAGGGGTATCTGTGTCAGGTACTGGTGCGGCCAGGGGTACCTGTGTCAGGTACTGGTGCTATTAGGGTAGCCTAACTATACTTAAGAGTCACAACACTGAAACGACTCTAGTTAGCCTCACAAAGTGAATATTACGAAGATACAAGAATTACACAGAACAGTATGGCATATGTGCTTAACAGTGAAGCACACGTCACAGGGACCACCACGTACAGTGAAGCACGAACCACAGGGACCACCACGTACAGTGAAGCACACGCCACAGGGTCCACCACGTACAGTGAATCACAAGCCACAGGGACCACCACGTACAGTGAATCACAAGCCACAGGGACCACCACGTACAGTGAATCACAAGCCACAGGGACCACCACGTACAGTGAATCACAAGCCACAGGGACCACCACGTACAGTGAAGCACAAACCACAGGGACCACCACGTACACCAACCCCCCTCCCCTCCCCCCATCCCCGGCAGCATCCACGGGCAAACAGTCCCAGCAAACAAAGACACAACGAAATCATTTCTTCAGTTCCTGGTATTTTTCAAGTGCTTGTCAGACTCAGATTAGAGTTTTTGTTCGCTAGTGGTTAGGAGAGCTTCGCTTGTTAGCCCGAGAGACTGTCAAGACATGCTGGCCTTGACCTCTTCTTACAGCCCCTTGGTATTATTGCTATTATGATGACTATAAAGAAAATCCGTAGGAGCCGTGATGACGGTTCGAACCTATGCGGTGGGTGTTCCCACGTACACGCTCCAGCGACTAGACTACGACATGGGTAAAAATAAGGATTGCAACCTGAAGTTCTACTAAACACACGAGGGTTTCCTGAGGCTTCTACTGAAGCCCGACCAGATTTAAAGTATCATGACACTTATTTGTAATATTATTTATAATAGTATTACTATTATTTTTATTATTACGTATCATCAGTCATTCTAATTATGAATTTTTACTAATTCTACGACAGTTGTTTGGACGTGCAAGTAAGACTTGACCTTTTTTATGTGTTATAACCCAGGGAATAGTAATTAACACTACCTTTTTTCTCACTTATATTGGATCAACCTGGTTTTATATTGATTGTTATCAGTGCCGTGGAGTAGATGACATTCAGTTACCATATAAGGTTTATTGTATGTCATTATAATTGTGCTAGGTGCATGATGTATTATACAACTATTGTATTTCTGTTATGCCAACTTGGGGTGGTTAGGAGATACCAGACGTTCAGATACTAGACGGGTTCTGGTCTGGCCCGTATCGTGGGGTAGTCAATCAACCCGGCCTCCTAAAGTTCCCCAACGTCAAGAAACCCTAAAGTGCCCTTATCCTAACCTACCAGATGACCCAAAACAGAAACCGGGATAGTGTCAATTTCGCGAGCCGCTGCCATTTTCTAGTACGACGATTTTTGGCCATAGGGTCAAGTACGCGTCAAAATGCGACGCTCTATTAGTTTGGCGGGTTTAGTCAGCTGTCTCAGGCGGACCAACTGTAGCAAGTTTGGTAGATTATTATATATTATCCTTTACCATTATTAATGTTCGTTGGTTATCGTGCCATATCCTAGTATTAAATTTATATTTCATTACTATATTTACTGGCAGTGTCGGCCAGAGAGAGGAGATGGTAAATGTTGTTATAGAAATACGAGAGGTTGGCTGACATGTGAGAGAGGCGCCCTGCGTCAGCGTGTCGTCCTTCCCGCCAGTGGCACATGGACACTGGGACGTGGAGGTTGTGTCATCTGCTCTTAAGGTAAATAGCGTGTTTTGCCTGAAACTGTAATTATGTACATGTCTGGTTTAATCATTTGGTTAAGCTCACTGAGGAGTGTGCTGAGCTCACAAGTACTGTATAAAAAGTTCGAGGTAGGATTGTCAGTAGTATTATTGTGCCTCGTAACTTTAGTGACTTAAGTTTTCAATTCATGTTCCATGTATTTTTTTTATTTTATAGATGCCCTCGACGGATTAAACTGGTGTTCATCCTTGTTTTTATTAGAAGAGTTGTTTAATTAATTAATGTTGTAGTTAGTAGTTGTGGGAACAGGCCAATAAGGAGTTTTATAAAGTGCTTACAGGAACACCAGGCTACTCACGAGTGAAGGTGACTTGACATTATTGTAACCCTAGAATTTTTGTTATTAATGGAACTCAGATTTTTTGCTTTAAGTGTCATTATAAGTACTTTTTTTTTAAAGCACTTATAGTTTTTTTCTAAAGCTTTTGAAGAGAAATTATGTGTAATTCATCAATCATTTGTTAAGACGTTTTGAAATTGTTGGTGACAATATCTGGGTTGTATCTATAATCGTGATATTATTGTATTTATCATTTTTATGTAAATACCTTTTCATCTCATTACATTGAAAGGGCAGAATTATAGCATGGGTGATGTGCCACCTCGCGCCCTCTTCACCCCATCCTTCATCACCCATTCCCCCCTTCAAGATGGTGGGGCCCCTTGCCCCATCATCTCCTACAGAAGGCGTTTATGATAGCCTTGTGGGTCGACCTTGAGGGTGCTAACGAGGTTTACTAAAGAGTGATGCGCACGTTACGGGGGGAAGCTGTAGCTGATTTAGCTACTCACAACGAAGTATCCATGTAGCACGGGCTATGTGAATCCTTTTACGGTGGCTTCCCCCACCGTAAAAGGTGGGGGAAGCCTATACACTGTGCTATATACAGGCTTCCTTCTGGGAAGACCTTGTCAGCGTGAGATGTGACAGTGTTTGAGAGGTGAGATAGGGGGTAGTGGGTGTGAATGAGGGGGGGAGGGCGAAGGTTTGCTCATGATTTCCTACGGCATCGAATACCGTAATTACTCTAGTTCGGGGAATTTAATCTTTTAAGTCGCAAATCTAAGGTAAATAGAAACAGTAGAATGATGCATGACCCGTTATCAAGTTGCTACATATGTTCTAACGAGGTTGACCATGTGACCAAGTAACAAGCAGTATTTCTCCAGCAACTGACCAGTGACATGAAGGCATTGTAATTACCTCCTCTTTAAAGGAATTTTCGTATCTTGCATTGTGTAAGAATTTAGGCAGAAGCGAAAAAATCCAGGTATTATTAATTCAATTTAAATGTTTCTAACAGATGGTAAGTACTTAGCCTATCTACACTGGGTAGATAAGCAAGGTACTTATCCTATCTATTCTTGAAACCCTTTAGGTCCAAGAAATAAGGCTGGAAGCATCAGTCAGCATCGACTCACTCCACTCAGCATTGATTCCTACAGATAAGATTTTTTTGTTATCTATACAAACAGGAAACTGCAACAGGGATGACCCACCTGGACCCGACTCTCTGGCAGGTTGATCTTGATGGCGACCTCCTCCCTCATGAAGATGTCCGGGTAGCGGGTCTTGGCGAAGAGGGACTCTAGCACGTCGAGCTGAGCCCTGGTGAAGGTGGTCCTCTCCCGTCGCTGCTTCCTGGCCGGTTGTTGAGACACTGTGGAGAAGGAGGTCCATGAGTTGCCTGGGGGAGGGAGCAGGGGAAGACAAGGTTACTACACACACACATGGACAGGTCACGAGCGCGACAGCTGGAATATCAAATAGATTTTCTCAGGAAGGAATTGTGCAAATATAATTTCAAGATAATTTAGTCATTAAGTAATTATTTCAAGATAATTTAGTCATTATTATTGCAAGATAATTTAGTCATTATTATTGCAAGATAATTTAGTCATTATTATTTCAAGATAATTTAGTCATTATTATTTCAGGATAATTTAGTCATTATTATTTCAAGATAATTTAGTAATTATTATTTCAAGATAATTTAGTAATTATTATTTCAAGGTAATAAATTATCTTGAAATAATCATTACTAAATTAACTATATTAAGTTATTAAGCATATAATTTCAAGATAGGTAAATTCAATATAATTAAGTATATAATTTCAACATAAATAATTAATTATATTTACAAATAATTGAAAACCTATAATGAATAATATAATTTCGAGATAATTGAACGGGAGACATAACTTCAATGTAAGTATTCACATTACTAACTTTTAAATTGTGAAAAGAACAATAAAAAACTAATATTTTGCCTTGTGTCTCACCTGATGGGTAGGGTACTGAGGGATGCACTCCGTGGTCCATGGGGGAGTGGTGCCCCATGCTGAGGCCGAGCCCGTTCATGGGGTAGGGCGGGCTCTTGAGGTATGCCATGCTGCCCCCGAGCCCTCCCTGGGCCCCGAAGGTGCCGTGATACGCCAGCCTGCTGAGGGCGTCCGCCTGCGGAAGACAACCTTGAGGTCAGTTATACATGTCTCGATCGTTATCGTGGTGTAAGTAATACATAATACATGAGACCATGTGGGGTAAAGAGTTATTATGGAGCATACACACACACACACACACGCCCTTCTCTCTCTCTCTCCTCCCTCCCCCCGTGACGACAAACTTAAGTCTCCGCACGACGCCCAGTGTCGCGCACGACCCGCCGACGGCGACGACAATCTCGCCGCCCCGCCGACACCAGCGTACAATCACGCCGCTATTAAACACGCCGCCGGCCGAGAACCCTCACTACTTCCCCACTTCTCCGGTATCCCCGGAAACAATTACCGACCGATGAGGAAGTAATGAGGCGAGGGAACGCCACTGCCACTGGCAGAAGAGAGAGGCGATGGAAGCCCCTGGGCGCCGCGACACCGGACACCACCTCATTACTCCGCTGATCTGTTTTCCGGTTATTGAAAGCAGACGGAACCAGCGCACATAATTATTTGTGTTCATGATGATTTGCAAGTATCCCGAGGCGGAGTTGAGAGCGTGCGAGGAACAATTCTTGCGTACTGTGAGCGCCACTGCTGGGGACGCCAGCCAGCGCCCTGCACCGCCACCAAGGCGGACACCAGAGGGAAGCCCCGCCTGGCATCACTGTTCACGAGTTGATAATGATACTCTCACTGATTGGCATGTGTGTGGGTGTGTTTTTGCTTGCTTGCTATTTGTGCCTGCAGGATCGAGCTGTTAGTTTTTGGATCCCCCGGCTTTATGACCGCGGGTTGTTTAATGAACTGATTGGACCAAGTTTTCCTCTTGCCATATCTACAACATATATTTCAAACACACCCACACATTCCTAGGATGCAGCCCGCAGCAGCAGCAGTCTAACTCCCAGATACCTATTTACTGCTAAGTGAACAGGCGCATCAGATGAGAGAAACTCTGCCCATATGATTTCGTTTCGGCCTGAAATCGAACCCGGATGTGTATTTGATGGTATAAACTGGCAACATCACTATATTCAACACAATAAATTCACTATTCACAACACTGTCATCACCCAATACCGTCACTATCATCATATACTACACCAACATCAACAACAACATTTAAGAGTATAAAAGCAATAGAAACATCAAACATCACCTATCATCGCTGTAAACGTGGACAAATTCACACCTATCGAAAGGATAATATTTATGTAGGTAAGTGTGTGTGTTGGAAGTGGCAAGGTTTACGACAGTGATGTCAGCACGTGATGGTGGCAGTGATGAAGATAGTGTTGGCAATGTGAGGGATATGGTAAACCGCACCAGCGGTTTACTTCGTTCACAAGGCAGGCAGGGAAATAGGGTTTGGTGGGAATGTCTTACTGGCAGAGTTGGCAGCGATGAAGGAATGTCGGGTGTGGTGGTGGTGCTGCTGCTGGAAATGTCGCCAGAGGAGGAGCCCTCGGTGGCACAGGGGGATATGGTGTGGGCAGCCGTGTGGTGGTGGTGGTGGTGGTGGTGGTAACGCCATGTAGGAACCAGTCGATCCGCCATATCTAAAGCGATATTACTAATCAGTTGAGACACACACACACATATACACACACGCATATGTACACACACTATATTACACACATACCTAGTTAAGCCTAGTTAAGCACAAGACAAAGTTAGAGAACATTCAGAGGCATGCCACCAGACTGGTCCCGGAACTGAGAGGTATGAGCTACGAGGAAAGGCTACAGGAGCTAACATTCACGTCCCAAGAAGACAGAAGAGTAAGGGGAGACATGATTACCACCTACAAAATTCTCTGGGGAAGTGACAGGCTGGACAAAGAAAATATTTAGCATTTGTGGAACACGAACAAAGGGACTCAGCTGGAAACTTAATACCCAAATGTGCCACAGAAACATTAGAAAGAACTTTTTCAGTGTCAGAGTAGTTAACAAATTGAATGCATTAAGAGGCGGACTCCATATACAGTTTAGATATGATAGAGCCCAATACGTTCAGGAATCTGTACACCAGTTGATCTGACAAGTTGAGAGGGGGGACCAAAGAGCCGAAGCTCAACCCCCTCCCCCAAGCACAACTAGGCGAGTACACCCACCCACCAGCTGCTGCATCAGCTGGAGAATGGTTTCCTCTCCTATACAAAGATAAACGAAAGTGGATTGTGTGTGTTTATTGCATGTAAAAAGTAGAAACCCAAACTTTCACTATTATTTTAAAGGTATTTAAAAAATAAAAAAAAATAATATGAATATAAAATAAAAATATTTAAAATATTAAAAAATAATACAATATTAAAAATATAATACAAAATATTTAAAATAATAATACAATATTTGAAATACAAAATATTAAAAATAAAATGCAAAGTATTTAATAAAATAAAATATTATTTTTTTTATTTATTTGCCCATAATAAATATTAATAATATTAAAAAAATTATTAAACCAATTATGAAAATAATAATGTAAGTAATATTTACAACTGCACCATCCTTATTTACAACAAGTCCATCTCCTCAGTACAGAACCCGTAACGAACTAAGAGTTAGACACTGCGTCGTTCTAAGGACTTGCATGTAGTCATTAATATCCACTTACCCAAACACCACAGACGCAGCCCCGCTCCTGTGCCAGGTAAGTCCACTACGGGCTCACCATAGCCCGTGCTACTTGGAACTTTTGTTCCGAGTAGCTGAATCTAAAACAGCAACACAGACGGTGGTACCTAAGAAGCTGCCCGGGACGGAACAAATCATCGCCACACTTAAACCGCCGTAAACCACGAAAGAGTATACCTTCCCTAACTCCCGCCAAACACACACACACTAGAGGAATAATGGGCAAAACAAGAATTAAAAGTATTTTGCGCGACATCGCTAAAGTTTCAATACGCTTTCGCAGCACGCGACGCGGTTGGCCGTTACGAAGGATATATTGCAGGCGGTAAAGCGCCGCTGCTGCAGCCGCTGCTGCAGCCGGTATCCGGCCGCTATCACCTGGTCACCAGTACCCAGTAACACTGAACTGGGTAGACCATCTACCACGCAGCTCCGGCTAGTCAAAGGCGACTGACTCTCCAGGTCACCACGACTTACGATGTGAAATCACAAACTCGCACATTTCGGTGGAAATGTGATATTTGTATACGACATTATCACTCCTTATACAGATATGCAAAATTATGACAATATTTATACCAATAACTAATACAATAAATACAAAAGGTAATAATAGAGCCCGGGAGAGCAGTAAGTACAGAGGACCGCAAGGGTGAACTATAGAGCACAGGAGGGCTATAGAGCACAGGAGGGCCAGAGAGCAGGAAGAGCTATAGAGCACATGTAAGGCAGTTCTACTTTAAACAAGCTAACCTTCCAAGTATAAATAAAAAAAATAATAATATTTAGTTACAAAAAAATTAGTTATATCAATAAAATAAATATTATTATTAATTAGAACAACATTTACAATAATAATGCTTTAAAGACAAATTCCAGAATATTTGCAATAAAAACATCTTACATAATTTCATTAGTTTCGACAATATCTTAAACAATTTACATAATTCTTTACTTTTAATATTTTAAATATAATTATTTACAAAAAAATATTATTATTGTTTACAATAACAACACAGGTATTCACTAGGCTGTTGCAGCTGCTCTACATAATACCTTTTTAATTTGAACGTTGGGGGCCCATAACGTCCAATATAGGACATACTAGTCGAGATTAAGGGATGCTGCCATAATTGAGAATGTGATATCTGTCTACGAGACAGTGGAAGTTACCAGAGATATGTGGGATAGAAGTTAGATGAATAGACTAGAAAAGTGTATATTTGAGAAGTTTGATAGCCACACACAAGATACATAGAAGGAGTACATATAAACGTGACCGGCCTATAGTATGTGTCAACAGGCCTACTTTAGGGCCCGCGCAGGAATATCCCTGCAAAAAAAAAAAATCAGGCCTACTGCGGTGTTCCTTAACCCCTCATGGTTTTGTAAGTCTAAAAGTTATAATAGAGGCCTCTTATGTTATTACAATTGATATTAATACCCATAATACCATTGATAGTAATGGTCATATTTTGATTTAATTGCAATATTTACAACAGCTCAAAGATTCATTTATAATAATCACCAAAAAATTATGTTAATACAAATATTTGTTTGCAATAATTTACAGTTTAATATTTGTATTGTCTAGATGTTAATATTTCTATTGTCTAGATGTTAATATGTCTATTGTCTAGATGTTAATATTTCTATTGTCTAGATGTTAATATTTCTATTGTTTAGATGTTAATATGTCTATTGTCTAGATGTTAATATTTCTATTGTCTAGATGTTAATATTTCTATTGTCTGCAGCTTAATATTTAAATTGTTTGCAGCCTAATATTTAAATTGTTTACAGCCTAATATTTAAATTGTTTACAGCCTAATATTTAAATTGTTTACAGCCTAATATTGGTATTGTTTACAGCTTAATACTTGTATTTTTTACTGAATATCAATACTAAGCGATCAGGCAGCATACAAATGTTAAATTAAATCCAAACCATTCAATCAGTAAGAATCATAATTACGTCAAAACTACGCAATAAACACGTCAAAACTACGCAATAATCACGTCAAAACTACGCAATAAACACGTCAAAACTACGCAATAATCACGTCAAAACTACGCAATAAACACGTCAAAACTACGCAATAAACACGTCAAAACTACGCAATAAACACGTCAAAACTACGCAATAAACACGTCAAAACTACGCAATAATCGCGTCAAAACTACGCAATAATCGCGTCAAAACTACGCAATAATCGCGTCAAAACTACGCAGTAATCGCGTCAAAACTACGCAATAATCGCGTCAAAACTACGCAATAATCGCGTCAAAACTACGCAATAATCGCGTCAAAACTACGCAATAATCGCGTCAAAACTACGGAATAATCGCGTCAAAACTACGGAATAATCGCGTCAAA